ATGTAAATAGATTATTCATAAATGTTCAAGGTAGATAATACATGTAGCTTGTTGTGCCATTTTCCCCAGTAAGTTTTCTATTATTCCTATACTTTTCGAGATATCAATCAAACTACAATTTTACCCCTATGTTCAATTCTTGGCCACGGTGGCCATGTTGTTTAATCAACCTGGACGAAAATCACACATTTCATAGTGGATAAAGTGGATGAAACAGACAAACTTTGATGTCAGTCCATTGAACAGTTTCGGTACTGAAGAGTTTTAAAGAAAAAATCCGGACAACAGATCTAGACGGAGGGATGACGGACGCCAAGGGATGGCAGAAGCTGACATTGCCTTTGTCAAATTGATTGAAAAGCAGGGTCATTATATGTTCGCTACTACAAGAAGCTTACATTGTGTGACGATATGGACCTCATCTTTTAACTTTAGTTTTTTGTTTGGGAACTAGCTCATAAAAACACGTCTTACATGAACGACATTTATTATCAAAAGTAAACAAAAAGGCGTTTCTGGACATATGTGTAAAAATAAATGTCTATGTATGTGTGGAAAAATTGTGTTATAAAGTGAATATTTGTCCGTATAAGTCATTGGTCTTAATGATCTCATAATTCATCAAATTTGTACAGTCACATTGACGAATAACAACCACGTATCCAGTACTCGTGTACTCAGAAAAAAAATTAATTGTGTCTTAAAACCTTCACAGATACTTCTCAAAATTTTGTACATTTCTTCTTAAAAGCTTTATAAGGTTTCTCCACCATGTGACGATATGGGCTTCGTCATTCAACTTAAAGTTTCGGTTTTTGAACTAGCTCATTAAACCCACACGTCTTAAATGAACGACATTTATTATCAGAGAGAGAGAGTAAACAACAAGGCGTTCTCAGACATCACTTGTACAATTCCGTATAAACATATGAAACAGAATTACACATATAATATATATATATATATCTAAATTCATGTATAGAACAATTCCTCTCTGTCAAATTGATTGTAAAGCAGAATCAAGTAATGTGCTCGTTACTACAGGAAACGTACGAAGGTAGCCATATATGATGATTTGATACTGCTGCTCATGAAAAACTTATATAAATAGAAACTACACAAAAAGGTGTATCCGATTACCTTTTTTCATTACAGTTTGTGTTTATTCTTCTTCTGACACTTACTACACTTATGTCATAAGATACCGTTCTTTTAAATCCAAATTCTTCGATGGCGCTGTCCAAAAACGTCCAACTAGTTCCTTTGCTTGATATACCTTGAAGTACTATATATTCACTCATTGACCGACAAAGAAACTTAGCAAAGTGTAAAATGAGGTGCTCTTTGATATTCTCAGACAAACAGCCATAAACGTTGAAAATAAGAACCATTCCAATTGGTGCTTGAAAGCAATTTCTTTTTGAAAGTAAAGTTCTTTGTGGAAAACCTAAATCAGACACCACAACCGCAGTTCGTTTTGAAACGATCAGATGAGCATTAGATTTGATAGCCCTGTATGGTACGTAGTCAGCAACTATTTCATCATCAGGGAATAAGTACTGCTTATGGTCAGTCGATGCTAATACTTGACCAAGCAGATTGACATCAATATATTCAGCTTTTAAAGATTGATTTTCATTCTCTATGACATTGTACTTTATCTCTAGGGTTCTTTTAAGCGTGTCGTAAAATACAAAATCCTGTTGAAAAGAATAGATATTTTTAAATCATTTATAGCATATAATTATTTAACATTCCCAGTTCATCAAGCGAGAAGTTATTAAATAAACTGTTGACACAAAGATAGTTTCGCCTATCGGTATACAATTCAGAAAAGAAACCCCAATCTGATGGACAGCAACATTGCTGATTAGTTCAGTAACTGGACCATGATCTAGTTGGCAGGACCTCAAAATCGTCGACAAACTGAGATGTACAGACAGTAGTGTAACTTTGTAGAAAATATCGTTGTCTATTGTAAGTAATTCCTATCAAACTGACTTATGCAGAAAACTTAACATTGAAAATTGCTAATTAATTCAAATTTACTGGACCATGCCCTAGGGGGCAGAGCCTCAAAATAGTCGATAAACTGATATGTACTTATAGTGATGCAACTTTAAACAAAATATCATTGATCTGTCACAAGTAGTTCTTATCAAACTGACTTAAGCAGACAACTTCATCATTGAAAATTGCTAATTAATTCAAAGTCACTGGACCATGCCCTAAGGAGCAGGGCCTAAAAATAGTCGTCAAACTGATATGTACTGACAGTAATGCAACTTTATAGAAAATATCATTGATCTGTCACAAAGAGTTCTTATCAAAATGTCTTAGCAGAAAACTTCCTTATTAATTGAAAGTTGCTGGACCATGACCAAGAGGACAGGGTCTCGAAATAGTCATCAAACTGATACGAACTGATAGTTATGCAACTTCATACAAAATATCATTGATCTATCACAAGCAGATCCTATCAAACTAACTTAAGCAGAAAACGTAACATTGAAAATTGCTGATTAATTCAATGTCAGTGGGCCATGCCCTAAGAGGACAGGGCCTCGAAATACTCATCAAACTGATACGAACTGATAGTAATGCAACTTCATACAAAATATCATTGATCTATCACAAGTAGATCCTATCAAACTAACTTAGGCAGAAAACGTAGCATTGAAAATAGCTAATTATTTCAAAGTCACTGGACCATGCCCTAGGAGGACAGAGCCTAAAATTAGTTAACAAACTGATATGTACTGATAGTAATGCAACTTTTTACAAAATATTATTGATCTATCACAAGTAGATCCTATCAAACTAAATTAAGCAGAAAACTTTACTTTGAAAATTGCTAATTAATTAATAGTCACTGGACCATGCCCTAAGGGACAAGGCCTTAAATTAGTCGTCAAACTAATATGCCAACTTTATATAAAATATCATTGATCTATCACAAGTAGTTCCTATCAGACTAACTTAAGCAGAAAACTTAACAATTGTTGCCAAAAAGCAATCATTATATTTTGTTTTCTGCATCCCTGGCTTTCAAATGTTTACGTGTGAGTGTGCCTAATGAAACCAAATCCAGAAATGCGCTTCGAAAAAACGAAATTTACATGGTATTATTACATTTGTAGACGGAGAGCAGCGATTATCTGTAGTACTAGTTATAATCAAAAGTACCCACGGAACTTAGGAAAACCATATTTGTCGGGTAAGGTTAAATTCTTCTTATGTTCATTATATTCTACGTTTTGCTGACAAGTGAAGTTTTGTGGTAGTGATTCCTAATAGCCATAGGGTTTGAATTGCATTTCATGCAATTTTTACAAAAAAAATCAATATATAGACCGTTTACAGTTCCATACATCCCAGTAACAAAAGACCTACCTAGTCCACTTGTTTTGAACTCTGGTGTATAGTCTCCGATTTGCAATCATACCACGTCTACTTATTTTTACACTTGTCCCGCAAAATTGAATTTGGTCAATGAACGATGCAATTAAGGTCAACGACAAAAGACCGTGCCAGAACATGCATCTTACAAATATTCTATAGACCACTATATATTGACTTCTGTACATTTTTGTTTAACGGATATTGTCTAAATAGAATCCAGTATATCACCGAGTGTACATAGCTTTTTGAGTAATTTAAATTATAATTAAGGAATGTTTATGAAGAAATAACATCAGAAATGTGGCGCACACTGAACGCTGGTTATTAAAAAATGTGCACCACATTTTTGAGTTTTTTTTTAATACACAGAAAAAATATTATAGTCATTCCTGATAATTTGATTATAAATTCCATTTTTAAGGAGTGAATCATAAAAAACGTTGATGATGTCACGGTCACATGGCAAAATCATGTCTATGAGCATTGTCGTCATTTATAGAGTTATTGGTAACAGCATAGGCGTGACAGAAGGGTACGCACTTAGTTTTTTTTTTTCAATTAAGTTCTTTTCACTACACTGATATGTGAGAAACGTGCCGTGTAAAATTTTTAGAATGCTTTGTGCTTTTTATCACTGAGTAGTTTCTTATTTAAAAAGGAGAAATAATTTAACGGTTGATGTAGTATCAGAAACAGGATAGTCATGCATTTCATTTACGCCAATTGAAATTAGTTATTTTAAAAAATGTTACATAGAATAATAGAAACTGTCATTTTTCGTTAGTTATTCTAAAATAGTTCATTTTGCATATTTCAAGGCAATCAGAAAACAGGGGGGAAAAATCTAAATTTGTTATTCTGACACTGTACGCACATAAATTACGCAAACATTCGACTAAAATATATTTAAATCTAATAAAAATAGATCGTAATCGTGTTTGTTATTGATTTAAAGAATCATAAATGTTACATACTTTCATTTAAACACTTACAGTTTCTCATTAACCATAAAAATTTAGCATAGATGTACCGGAAATTCGACATTTTTTATACCAAGTTTTGTTCAAATACTATTTAAGCCTGCAAAACAACCGGTCAACGAAGGTTGCCAAGTGGTCATGGCAATAGTTCACATCTAACTTTGGTCCAAGTGAGCTGTTTCCATTCTCAATTTTAACAAGAGGGTGGGGTAAGATTTGTTAAATTTTATATGAGAGTTTATTGTTTCATTCTAACAATTATTTACCTTTCAATGCTAAAAGTTTAGTACTTTGTTTTATTTGAGACGACCCCCTCTCATGTCAGAGTAGGTGTAAACAGTCGGTACCGAGACTTTCTGTGAAATTCTAGTAGGCTAAATGTCAATCAGACAATTACCAAATAAAAATGATGGATTATATCTTTCTTCTCTCCTCAATTGTGCCGAAATGCTTTTTGGTTTTGAGTATCATCTGTCACAGTCTGAAATTTACCTGTATTTTAGCTAAAAAAAAATAAGAACAAGAAATCAAATTATTTCCCTGCCTACCCCATTTTGTCAGCATGGAGGTGGGAAACAAGCATATATATTTCTTTTTGGTCTAACTTGATAAACATACTTGTTGTGATATTTTGTTGTATGTTCCTTTGTTAATCAGTTGAAGTAGTGGTGAGTGTGTTCTATTTCCTGTAATTTTATGCCATATTACTTACGGTCGGTAAAGAGGTTCTCCTATATCCATCCATTTCAACATTATTTCAGCAATTCCTTTACCAGCGTATTCTTTGGAGTCTCTAACTGCCCTAGTAACTATACTTCTCCCATCATCTACAGTTGTCATTAAAGTAAATCCTACCTAAAGTATGAAATATCTTTTTAATATCAACACAAAATATGTTATACCTTATAATTTCAGGATCCTAATTTGACACTTTTTCATATTTTTATATCAAAAACAACCAATTGATAAAAATACTTAAGAAGCCCAATCAAAAACTATCAGTTTAAGAAAAATACAAACAAAAGTCAACCATTAAACAGAGAACGAAAGATAAGCCACACGGTCCCCATAAAAACTGTAATGGTCTCGTCCATTGACGAAGAGTCAGCAGTTTCTGTTCCACAAGTGACATACGACAGGTAATTCCTATTTAGATTCGTTGAACATATCTGGTTTGAATAAATTACCAAAATTTATAATCTGAAATATTGGGATTTATCAGGACAAGAAAATAATTATTGTTAGGCACTGATAACCAAACCAAAGGTCATCAGTAATGAGATAAGAGAAGAGAGAATATTTGTAAATTATGATAGTTTATACACCAATTTTTTAAAGACATATAAAGGTTTTAAAAATGCATTTTTAATTGTTTGAAGTGTTTACAAACATTCAATTGTCATAAAATAGACCTTATCGACATGTATTCAAATCCGGATAAGTTATAAATTACACAAATTTGTCATGACGTCATAAACCAGTTGGAGCTTACAGAAAAATGTAAAATTCCTTTCTTAAATAAGTATGGCGTAAGATTTGCTTACCCTTCCGGAGTACCTTAGATAACCCCGGTTTTTGTGTGGGATTCGTGTTGCTCAGTCTTTAGTTTTTGATGTAGTGTTTGTCTTTATGTCGATTTTCGTTTTTTGCCATGATTTTTTTTCTGTTGCTCTTCGATTTTTTGGATTCTCCCTTTAATATCTTCCGCTTCTTTTCTAAATCATGCATTGTTTATGATTGAATAAATAGAAGAATGAACATAAGTTTTGACGAAGTTAAAAGATCAAACGGATAAAAGTAATGACAAACAATAAAACATCACGTGGAACGCATATACTGGGTTCATGACTTTTATCTTTTTTAGAAGACTGGTCTTAATATCTAAATATTTTGGTTCTTGAAATTAAAATATGATCATACAAATTTATCTCCGATGACAGCAGCATACATCTCGTTGTTTGGTAGATCAATTAACATATGGAAATAATCAGGAAGACAATCACTGCCTTTATATATCTCAGATGGGGGAAATATAGCCATCACTTTCTCATAGTCTTCTTTTGTCACCCTTTTAAATCTTATCAGGTTGCTGTCCATTGTGTTAACTTATACAGTTAAAGTTATGAAGTTCGTCTTTTATATCTGTCAAGATAAAGTAAGACTCCAATCATTGTGATTTTAGACAATTGAATACATCATGAATAGCTTACTTGTTCCTTTATTCCTATGGCTTCACACAGAGAATTATAAACAAGAATGAAAAGTAGCTAGCATTATCCCTTAATTTCTCATTCCGCTTCAAATATGACTATTTCTCGCGTAAATATAATTACTAATCTGTAACCGATTGCGTCCTATGTCCGATTGTGACGGTGGATGATGCATGCAGAAGACGCTTACCCTGTCGACGCACCCGGTCGACGCACCCGGTCGCGGTCCTTTTGAAGTCAATGCCCTTTCCTCCGGTTTTTGTTTGTTATCTTGATTCTTCTCTTTTTAATCGATTGACGAGATTTGACCATCGGTAAACTACTGTCGCCTTGGGGAATACAGGACTCCACGGTAGTTGGGTCTACTTCATACTTCGACTTACTCAGGACATAACACTGTCGGTCTGTATCGTTTGGAAATGCAATTTGAACTCGAGATATCTTTTAATATCCCTGTGTGAGATTTTCACTTTTATGTAGCAATATTCCAGCAGCACCTGTGCTATATTCCATTGTGTTAACTTATGCAGTTACAGTTATCAAGTTCGTCTTTTATATCTGTCAAGATAAAGTAAGACTCCAATCATTGTGATTTTAGACAATTGAATACATCATGAATAGCTTACTTGTTCCTTTATTCCTATGGCTTCACACAGAGAATTATAAACAAGAATGAAAAGTAGCTAGCATTATCCCTTAATTTCTCATTCCGCTTCAAACATGGCAATTTCTCACGTAAATATAATTACTAATCTGTAACCGATTGCGTCCTATGTCCGATTGTGACGGTGGATGATGCATGCATAACAGAGGACGCTTACCCTGTCGACGCACCCTGTCGACGCATCCTGTCGACGCACCCGGTCGCGGTCCTTTTGAAGTTGATGCGCTTCCTTCGGTTTTTGTTTGTTACCTTGATTCGTCTCTGTTCAATCGATTGACGAGATTTGACCATTGGTAAACTACTGTCGCCATGGAGAATACAGGACTCCACGGTAGTTGGGTCTACTTCATACTTCGACTTACTCAGGACATAACACTGTCGGTCTGTATCGTTTGGAAATGCAATTTGAAATCATCGAGATGACCTTAATTTTTCCTGTGTGAGATTTCCACTTTTATGTAGCAATATATTCCAGGGCTTTTTTTTTCTAATGAAATTTCCTTGAGAAGGGGTTGCTGTTGACAAGAAAGCTATTTGTTCAAGTGTTTTATTTGTCATTTCTCAGAACTCTTGTCGAACGCTTTCGTGATAAGGTTGACCGGATTTGAATATCTCTGCCCCAAATGACCACTGTTATGGTTGTCGAATTTAGAAGATTAAATCAAAAGTGACACATATATGTAACCATTTTCTAACAAATAAAGGATTTATTCACTAGCCTGTCAACACTGAGGTTTTTTGTTCGAACCTCACATGTGGCTAGTGCATTCGACTCCAATCTTAATTGACTAGGATCACTAGTCTTCCAGAGGAAGGTCGGTGGTTCTCTCCGAGCACTCAAGTATCCTCCACAAAAAAACTAGCCACAACAAAATAGCCTTTAGTACCGAAAGTGGCGTTTAACGCCAAATACCAATCAATCAAACAATCAATCCTTTTCATGTATCCATAGCAACTCTTTGAGTATACAGATACTAACCAAGAAGACAAAAAAGCCGCGATAGACGGCGAAAATACGCTCTAGAACTTTGTTGTTTATATGCACAATCATTATTTTATTCTGATTTGATTTTTTATGATATATTTTGTGTATAGTTTCTGGAAAGATTGGAAAAATTTTATATCTACCTACATGTTTCTGAGATAAAGCTAACAAATGTTAATCGTTCTCTTCATTTTACTTAAAACAAAATCTTCGAATCGCGTTTTGTCGGGCCCGTTATTACTGACTTTGGCCCATATAAATCATATAATTTGTCGGAGAAATGTCTCTGATAATCATACCATATCTTCTAATTTTATGTGTATATATGCACAAGACAGGATGGAAATGAACACAATGATGCAATACGAAATGCAGAAAACTAATGTGTACAAAAGTTAAAATAAACTCATCAACCCTGAAAAATCTACCCCTACCCCCCCCCCCCCCCCCCCCATATCAGATCGTTGTCCCCTAGAAACGTCAACTGTATTTGTATACTATCATACATACATGTATATATATAAGGCGCATATCTTATTTATTCAATGTGCACAGTATCGTTTTACATTATTATGATCATACGTCCTATAAGAAAGATCGTCCTTTATCTAGACATGTTATGTTCTCATATCTGAGGGGCGTTGGTCCCTCAGATATGAGACATTTACAACCAAATCGTTCTGATCAAACAGGAAAAGTGTCATTATCTCAAATGTTCCAGAAGATGTTTAGTAGTTATGGATTTGAAATAAATTCTTAATTGCGTCAAAATTGATACATTATCACTGCTTTTGTATGGTAATATCAATCGCTGTATAACCTTGTCTTTTTTCTGGTTTACTTGCTAAAATCTGAACATTTTGCTGATAAATGATAACACTTCTATGTGAACATACAAACAACATCAAACACATACAATTATTTGCGTGGTTGTGCTGCTGTTCCTGTTCCCCTACATGTCATGATGCTACTTACAATGTTTACGTATCTATCTATAGTGTATGATAGGTACATGTATGTAATATATATTAAACTTTAAATGAGTGATCCAACCTTTTGACTTGTTAAATGTTTTGTCTTTTAATCGACAGTGGCATTGGATTTGACAGGACTATATGGTACAAAGTAAGCAACGATGTCGTCTTCTGGGAATAATTGAAAGCCAATGCTATATAACTACCTAAAATGATATATTAGGTACGCTATAAATTTACAAATGTACATAATTGAGACAAAACCCCAACAGCAAAACAAGTGAGCACACGCTAAAATGTCTCGCCTGCTTTACTGACTATGACTAAATGACTAAATCGGTTATGTTGAAAGTATATCTGTTCTGATCAGGGACTTGCTATAGGTTTAAACATCAAGAACGCCATCAAACAAAAATGTACCAATTACAATAAGTATATATACATCAACTTAAATACTAATTTAATTTTGAAATAAGTACAAAGATAACATAACTTTGATCAATTAACAATGTAAACGAACCTTTACGGACAAGCATGTGCACCAAACAATTATTCAAATTGTTGTTAAATCATTTCTTACTCAATATTCCGAAAATGATATAAAAATGATAGGTAGATGATTGTGTCAACGATAGATAATTCTTTTTGGAAGGGGATATACACCTTACAACAGTTATACATGCAAAAAACAGATAGCTTATTACTTTTTAATAGACCTGATCTGTTTAAGGAAACATAACAAAAAAGGGCTGAAGATTCCAAATTGAGATTCAAACTCATATGTCGAAGAAATACGTACAACGCCATTGCAAAAAAACGATTAACGACGAAAAGACGTACAAGTCTACAAATTCAGGTGCTCCGGAAGGGTAAGCTGTTCTTCCATGAAAACGAGATCAAAAATGTAATCCTGCTCGACTGATATTTATAAAAAAAATACTATTGTTTTTCTTTTATTTATGCTTACTGTGCAACAATGTCAGTCGTCTGTTTTTCTTACACTCATCTTATCTCCACCCGGAGGTTAAGAAATATAACAAGTTACCGAATGAATGACATGACCCCTATTTTATGTGACGTTTGTTTTCCTGTTCAGAATGGATTAATACGAAACCATGTCAGATTGGAAAAGGGGAATTAAATCAAATGCCTAGTGAAGAAATTAAAGCGCCACGCTATCTCAACGGTACAGAACCCTTGTATAAACTCTTTGATGGGTCCTTCGGTAGTCTAGTAAATTACAAAATGCCTGCTCCTATTCAACATATACTCTTTTCCAGAGATTTTGCCCTCAGCTGGTACGATAAAATTGTAGAACCTACTTATTATACTGGTTATTAATTTGACCGTGTCCTAAAATGTATGGAATATTTGCCACTGGACGTTAAGTTAATTTTTTTGGTCAATTTTTGCTTGGTATTGCAATCGTTTTGTTATGATATTTATGGAGGGTTTGTATATAAACGGTTGTAGCATGGCATTGATATTATCAGATTTTTATACCACAACCTGCCAGTAAATTTGTTTCTATACTTTCTATTTGATTATGAACCAAGAACTTGAAATATTGATTATGAAACATATTTTATAAGTGTAAAGCTTTCTTGATTTTTTTTTACATCGTGAAGTGCAGAATATGAAGCATGCATGACAAGACAAAAAATAAAAGTAACTCTGAAATAAATTCAAATCTTGTTGTAGTAAAATCAGTTCAAAGAAATTGTAATTAAGTATAGTAGGAGTGTACCACTGTAGGAGATTTGTCAAATAGAAGAGGAAGATACCAATGGGACATTCAAAACTTATAACTCGAAGTAAAGCCTACAATTCCATGGCACGAAAGACAACGAAAAGATGAACAAGTCCACAAAACATTACATAGAAAGTTAAAGGCTGAGCAATACGAACCCTATTAAAACGGAGAAGGGGGATCATTGGTTAATTCATGATAGAAAAGTCTTGAAAAGTTAAAAAAAAAAAAAGGGCGGGTGTAGCGAAAATTTTGAATTTAATAAATTTAATAACACTTTAGCAAACATAAAAATGACGAGTCGACAACCACATTTTACGACACTTTATCTAAAATGGGAATGCAGTCAGGTTCTACGGAAGAGCCATTTCCTGTAAAGTGTATGCATTTTTTTTTATTATCAAAATACA